TGATGATGATGATGATGATGATGATGATGATGATGATGATGATGATGGCAGTTAACATTTATATAATGCTTACTATGTGCCAGGCACTGTACTAAGTGCTTTACAATTATTATCTCATTTGATCATCGCAACAACCCTAAGAGGTAGGTGCTATCATCCCCATTTTATAAATGAGGAAACTGAGTCAAAAAGAAGTGACTTACCCAGGGTCACAAAGCTAATAAGTGTCTGAGGTCACATTTGAACTTGGGTCTTCCTGACTCTTGGTCCAGAACTCTATCTACTGTGCCACCTAGGTAGCTCTAATAAACTCATCTAACGTAGTTTAAATGAGATTTGAGATTTCCAAAAAGACAAATTCACATCCACTTTTAGAACATATCTATAACTACATACATGTCCTTCTTTCTCTCTTACCTTCTTTCTTCCTCTTCTTCCCCAACTCCTTTTTCCATTCTTCTACCTAAGGCCTAGCATCCACAGGCATGACTTTGTTCCACTGGTGACATTCAAGACTCAATTCCAGATCTTATCTGGCATATTTATTTGCTAATTTTAATATGCTTCTGCAGGTGAATGAACACAGGCCTGGAGGGTCAGTACTCACTAGACAAATAAAACATACATGCACACATACACCTATAAGCAAAGGTATGGAACAGAAAACACCTGGTACCACATACCTGTGGGGTGAGTTTCCCAACCCTCTGGGTTATAGGCTCATTCATCACAACTTCCACTTTGCAGGCATCTTTTTCCTTGGGTATGGAAAACTGCAGGTCCTCCCTTGACAGGAAAGCAGAACGGCCCTTTGCCACCTTCATCCCCCGGTTGAGACTGATGAAGGATGAGCTGGTACCTTGCAGGACAAGCAGCAGACAGAGAAACACCCCACTGGATCCAAGAAGGTTCATGTTATCAGGGGGCCACCAGCTTCCTTCCAAGGAAAAGGTTTAAACAGAAGAAGGCTTCCCTTTCTCCTTCAGGACCATCAACATACTCCAGAGGGCTAGGCTGGAGAAGGATCCAGACAACACATGCGGAGATGGCTGGAGGCTCCCCCTTCTTGAAATCTGAAGAATGAGGCCTTTCAAGAAATCCTGGAGCTTTTTTAATAAAACTCGCTGATCAATCCTGACAACGCCAGAAAGATTAATAGGCTTTCTGAGTGCTTTTCTAATCCTGCAAATAGGAGAAGGGGTAGGGGAAAAGGAGAGAGAGCAAAAAAAAAATGGCATTGCTGTTCAGGAGATCCAAGTGACAAAGGGATCTTTCAAACCTCCTCTCATTTCAGGTAAATTAAAAACAAACAAACTAACCTGACCTCTCAGCACATCTGAAAGGTGATGGGGTCAACTCATTATCCAGCTTGTGGGACTCTGGCTTTCTGACTTTCTTAAAAACAATCTTGATGGTGACTGGGTGGTCCCATAGGATAATTACTACCTTTGACCTCAAGATAAATGGATATAACTTACTCCCTCTTAATCTGGAGAAAGTCACTGAAGTCCAGTCTTCAATTTCCTTGTTCGTCCTGACCTGTGAAGAGACTACTAGCTAATTGCTTTACCAAGCAGGTAAGATTAGTTTCCCTCTGCATATTGCCTGAAAATTACTATGCCTGAGAAGGGGTATCTCAGAAAGGGGGAAGGGAGGTGTAGCGGCAAGAGCATTTGACTTGTAATTAGGAGGAACTAGATCAAGAATTCTTAACCTTTTTGGCAGTCTGGTGAAGTCAATGGACCCCTTATTGGAAAAATGTGTTTGAATGCACAAAATAAAATGCATAGAGATTACCAAGGAAATCAGTAATACCGGGAAATAGCTATCAATTTTCTTTTTAAAAGTTCATAGATCCCACATTTCTTTTGAACTTCTTTTGAAGTTTCTTTCGAACCCACTTCTCCTTTGAACTTACCTATTTCTATCAAGGACATTGCTTGAGATACCGAGGTTCACATCTTTGACTCCCCACTCTCCCTATTTCACACATCCCAATAAATTACTGAGTGTTGTTAATTCTACCACCAAAATGTCTCTCACATGCATCCCCTTCTATCCACTCACATAGACATCAACCTAATTCAGGACTTTATCATTTCTGAGCTGTACTAAGCAATAACCTCCTTATTGGGTCTCTGGGCCTCCTCCCCACTCCCATCCATTCTCCACACTGCCAAACTGTGGCAACTGTCTCACCTTGACCCTGCCCTACTCAAACTCTAATGGGTCCCTATTAACTCTAGACTCAAATATCATTTCACCTTTACCTAATCTTTTTTAAATGGCTATTTTGCTTAAGTTTTATAATATAAATTATTATTAATACAGTAATATACTGTAATTTCCACAGGATAGAGATTTGATTTTTTATTTCATTGATATAGGAAACTTCCAGATGAAGAAACTCTATTTACCAATGCAGGTGGGCCCCTTCTCTGCACTTCAGAATTTTAGAGACACATATTGTCTTATTTCATCTTCACAACAACCCTGAGATATAGTTGTCACAAGGACCATTATTCCTATTTTACAGAGGAGGTAACAGGCTCAGTGAGATTAATGGGCTTGACCATGGTCATACAGCTTATGAGTGTCAGAGGAAACATTGGCACACACATCTTTCTTACCCCAGCTCCAACACTGACTTCTCCAATATATTGCCTCTACTAATGTTACTGTACCAACATACTCTACTAGTGTTCTCCAACTGAGAAACAAAAGCAGGGCAAAACTAATATAATATACCTACTAGGCTTTAAAATCTGTAGAATGGGTACAACTCAAGACTTTTCTACACATTGAGAGTAATGGAGAAGGAAATGTCATTCAATGTAGAATGTTTATAGAGATTAATTCCTTCAAACTTAAATGGAATTGTTCCTTTATGTACAGAGAGGGTTTACAAAATCTTCTGTGGGTATGCCTAAATGCAAAGATAGAGTGGACATGTAGGCCTGTAGACCATGTATGCTAAAGTACTATTTCTACTTCCCATATTTCACTGATCAAAGTGAGGCCTCTATTTCAAAAAGGACAGGATTTGGAGTCCTATGACCAGGAGCGAACACCGTCTTCAACACTTCTTAGCAGCATGACTGGGGGCAACTCTCTTAAACTCTGTCTCAGTTACCCCCCATCTGTAAAATGGAGATGATACACTGCCTTCCTCCCACCCAACAGATCTGTTTTAAAGAATAAGATAATGTAAACAAAGAGTTTTAAATTATAATTGCTATATAGATTTTTTTAAAACAGTGTATTTCATGTTTATCTGATTGTCTGTGTATCCCATGACAACCTTGAAGCACCTGAGGTTCAATTTGTGATTTAGACAACCAAAACACTAATGAAACTTTTTGAATGGGTATGTCATTTCACACACACACACACACACACACACACACATAATTTGGCACCTGAGAAGAGGATACAGATCAATATGTCTTTTAGGACATTTGTCTTTAACACAAATGACCATAAAGCCTATAACATTAACACGTGGGAAAACCTACCCCATTGTAACCATTAATTCATATGTAATATATGACATTCAAATCAATAAGCATTAGTAAGTACCTACTATGTGAAGGCATAGTAAGTTCTGGGACACAAATATAAAATTAACAACAATCCCTCCCCTCAGGTAGCTTATTTGCATCACTTTACCCCTAAAGGGAGCTGCGGTTCTTAGAATAATTCAGTTTTTATGGAACCACTAAATACCATATTCACATGAATCTATATCTGTGATCAACACTGGCTCAGCCTACCTATAACTAGCCTAGGTGCCCATGTCTGTGATGAAGTGAATTGGCCAAATACAAGTCTGGCTCTCAAAGTTCACAAAATCTCAGAGCTGGAAGGGACCTGAGGGGTCATCTTAGCCCAACTTGTACCAGAACAGGAATCTAAGTTCCCTAGAGAGGATTCTTATTCAAGAATGAGATTTTAGGGGGTGTGTGTGTGTGTGTGTATTTTCAGCAGAATGACAACTTCCACCCCCACAAGTATTGCATCTATAGCATATGATTCTCTCTCTTAAACTCACAACATAGAATATCTATACTCTGGTCATGAACTAAAATACTTAATCATAAATTTAATAGTAAAATATTCAATCATAAATAAACTATAATCTATCAATAGGGAAAGATTCCCCAGATATTAAATACATTTTTGTTGAACTAAAAAGAATAGAATATAAGATCCCTAAGGACAAGGATTATTTTATTTATTGTTCATCTCCCCCAGGGCCTAGATGTTTACCTAATTAAACTGAAGAGTCTAATGACCATGTTAACTATACATCCATGTAGGCTTTCCAACTTTTGTACTTATATGAGGATGGGTCATTCACACATATTAAGTCAAAAATCTAACTTCCTTAAGTAGAAATCAAAATATCCAGTTTTTTTAAAAATCTCACACCCCTATAAAATACAAGAACCCACATGATAAATTCTGGTTCAAATTAAACCCTAGTTAAAAGTATGCCCCTAAGATTCCATATTCTTTTTTTTCAGAAAATAGAACCTATGGGACGTTTTTCTCTTCTAGCTTCAGCAACCAACAAGTTTTTAGAATTAAATATAATATCCGATTGTAATTATCAGCTTATCTCAAGTTCCTGGGGAAACCTTTCCTCTACTTCCTCTGTTTCAATTCTATACCTGATTGTGCGACTTTGAATTTATATATTATATATAAGAAAGATAATGTAAAATCTTAATTTTTTTTAGAACATACTATATTAAAAGATGGTTTTGTAATATCTTAGAATGAGCCTCTTTAGAGAAGCCAAATACATTGTAAGAGACATGTAAGAACTCCTAAAAACACATCCTTAGACAAAACTGAGAATAAAATACAACACTGAACCTAAACTACAGATACCATGAAACAGTCTGCCGGATTCATAAAGGGACCCAGGAGATTATTTAGTCTAATCCCTTTGGTCTATAGATGAGGAAACTGAGTCCCAAAGAAATAAAACTATTTCAATACAGGCATTAAGTAATAAAGCTGGGGTTTGTACCAAGGGCTTCCGACTCCAGAGCTGGCATACTTTTCACTCTACCACATGCCCTTTCATCCATAAAAGTGATTCTTGTGTTTATCAGAGTAAAAGACACCAGTAAATATGTATCCCCTGGTGTACCTGCCCACATGACATGAGACTGTTGAACACAAATGGATTTTTGTATGGTAGGAAATTATAAATGTACACAGTGAGTGGATTTGATTTCACCATTCAGAAGGGGAGTTGCCAAAGGATTAATTCTCCACCTCCTGTCCGTCTCCCCTAAAGACTACCCTTGGCAGAGACAGGTATGTATGTTTTCCTGGAATTGTGTTTCCCTGCCACCCACTCAGCCAACAGCTGAAACAAATTTCCTTTGAAAAACCAGGGATGTCTTGAATTATATGATGGGGGGAGTGAAACAAGTACTTTGATCCAGATTCAAGTTCTTGATCTTGGTATATGTTGTGAATTACTAACCTCTCCCTCTCTAACTACCACCACCACACACAGACACAGACACAGACACACACACAGATACACAGACACACTGACACACACACACACACACACACACACCCTTTAGGAATTAAAAAAAAGCCATCATGTCTCAGTCACAGGGGCTTTTGTCTCATTTTCCAAATATGCATTTCAAGGTTCTAAAAAGGGGTTTCAATTTAGTATTGCCTGAAATAAGAAAAGACCAAAAATAGAATCAATTAAGTCAATCAAAGTATGCATTGTTTCCTGTTAGAGATCAGGAAGGCTAACCAACTCTGTTTCAATCCATCTCTTCATTAAAAGGATATCACATGTTTCTTGGCTTTGTTTTAGGGAAAGGATGTTTTTTTCAATATTCATCAAAACATCTCATTGTTCTTCAAGTTAGGTATTCAGGTTAGCTTATCACTAATCAGTCAAAGGCCCTAATTTCCTGTTCAACATAATATGGGGGCAAGAGTTGATTTTTCAAATTACATGACTCAACATGTTCCTTAACTCTAGAGATATGGTCAAAGTTTAAGGAGGTAAGAAACATGTTCTGCCTAAGTACTGAAATCCTAATGTATAGGATTTAAAGGGGCAAAAAAAGAAAGAGGAGTGAATTGTTTATTCTAGCTCCCCATCTACATACCACACTGAAGGAAGGCTGGACACA